AAAATCTCATAGCACCCAAGAAAACTTACATTTATATTAGTCAATGAGTATAATTTTTCATGTTGTTATCATAAGATATGTAGTTGTGTGTCGGAATGTAGATTCGTTGGTACGTAGGTTACATTATAATGCTAAGAACTGAATATTTAAGGAGAGTCACCACTCTATGGCATCTCTGTTTTTGATCCCTTCATTCTGGAAACATTGTTTTAGTAAAATTTCTGTGTTTGGTTTAGTACATTTGTTACATTAATAACTATCCTAGGGCTGTTGATGTTTGTTGTTATGTTTGTTCTAACAAACTATGTTAGGGGCATTTATGTCTGATCAATAAACGAGATCCCTCTTCTTATACAGCTGGTGTTTTCTTACTTGTACTAAGTTAGAAATTATTTTATTTTCATTTCACTACAGAGTGATTAGATAACAAATAAAGGTATTTTTTAATATTGCATGAACTAATATAAAATTTCTGTATATAAGGTTAAACAATATTCATGAATGTTTATTAGGTTAAATAAAGTTTATGATTTCTTTAAAAAGGTCACGTAAGAAGAGATCTCGGTCCAGATCAGGAAGTCGAGACAGGACCCGGCGCTCTAGAAGTCGTGAAAGATATAAAGAGCGAAAGAGATCTCGGAGCAAGAGCCAGGAAAAGACGAGAGATAAAACAACTCGCAAACCAAGAGAACGAGAACGAGAGCGAGAACGAGATCGAGAACGAGAAAAAAAGCGAAAGAGATCAGAGAGTAGTTCATCTCACAGTGTATCGTCAAGTAAGAGTCGGAGTCGTAGCCCTGGTCAAAAAAAGAAGGACAAAGACACTCAGCGAAAGCGTCGATCTCGTAGCAGAAGCAATGAAAAGAAGACAAAGAAAGAGAGACCTCGCAGTAAGGAAAGAGACAAAGATCGTGACAAAGATAGAAAAAGACGATCAAAAAGCCGCAATCGATCAAGTTCTCCTGGTTCACGATCAAAAAGTAAAAGTCCAGATAAGGAGCAAAAGAAATCCAAAAGCAGGTTAGTGAAAGAGAAACACTACCAGATTAAACCAGTATACAATCCAGGTTAAAGGAGCTACATCACTGCGGTTGAAAAGTTTTGCCTAAATTTTTCAAATTCGTCTTTTGTAATTCATGTTAATCTTCTCCATCCTCAACCAACCTTGTTCCTTTTTGGTTTGTTATTACCTCTTTAGTGTTTTTCTATCTTAAGTAGTTAACTATTATTTTCAGGTTTCCCTCACTGAAAAGGTACTTTTGTACATGGCCAGAATAACTCAAAAAACCCTGACTGAGCTTCTATAAGGCAGCAACCTGAATTTACCAGAAAATACTTCAAATACCAGGGAAAATATTTCAGTTTTTATATAGGGTAGTTGTAAATAAATGTAACTAATACCTTTTGAAGTGATAGCATTCTTCTGGTTTGCGAGAGGTTTTCAAGAATGCTAATTTGACAGTGAAGCTGAGTTATTGTCCAAGAATATGACATGTACAATGACTCCAACCAAAATCACAAGCAGTAACCTTAAGACCACTGTTCGTTATGATAAAGACAGACTATCATTATTTTGTTTGGATAACTATAATTGTTCTTGGTCTTCAGGGCTGTCATTTAGGGCGGTAACCTGTAACACTTGTTACGGCTGAGTATGTTTGATGGGTCCTTAATGTTACGGTTGAAATTGTCTTTTGTTGATACAATTCCCCCACAAAGTAACAAGTTTGTTACGAGTGTGTGGAGATCAACTATGCAGCAGGTCACTCAAAATTTAATGACAGCCCAGGACTTATATTCTTAGTGGTTTTACATTGTTGTTTTTTTATATGTTGTGTAAGCCGAGACAAGAGGAAGCGAGATGAAGGTGACAGCTCAGATCGGACCAAGGAAAGCAAGAAATCCAAGGAGGTGCTGAGTTTATTACTCTCACTAGCCTAACTTGTGTTTCTCTATTCACCAGCAAATGTTCAGGACTACAGATTGATGCATAAGAAACCATGGAGCAGTTCTTCAAACATTGCCAACCGGCTGTCCATGTTATTTAACATACAACATAAAGTAAAATTCATTTAACTTTAAAAAATGCCAAATAATTAA